TCCCAACACAATGGTGTCTGACATTTCCTCTCATACTATGCCTCGTATGGAGGCATGCCTATACTTGCCTGATAGATGTTATTATAGGCGAATTCCACCAAAGCCAACTGATTGTCCCAGCTTCCCTTGAACTCCAAGGCACATGCTCTCAATATATCTTCCAAAATCTGAATCACACGTTCGGACTGCCCATCCGTTTGAGGATGAAATGCGGTGCTAAACCTCAACTTCGTACCCATGGATTCCTGGAACTTAGGGAAAAATCGTGATGTGAACCGTGGGTCTCTATCCGATACTATAGTAACCGGAACCCCATGCAGTCTCACAATTTCATCTGTGTACAACTTGGCCAGTCGTTCAAGCGTGTAAGTAGTGTTGATCGGTAGGAAATGAGCACTCTTGGTCAGCCTATCAACTACCACCCATACTGTGTCGTAATTCCTAACCGTTCGTGGCAAATCCACCACGAAGTCCATGGTAACATGCTCCCATTTCCATTCTGGAATGGTAAGTGGTTGTAATAATCCTGCTGGGTATTGATGTTCTGCCTTAACCTGCTGACAGGTAAGGCAACGGCTCACGTATTCTGCAATCTCTCTCTTCATCCCCGACCACCAATAACTTTCTTTCAAGTCCCGATACATCTTTGTACCGCCCGGGTGCATGGCATACACAGATGAGTGAGCCTCCTCAAGGATAGATTTACGGAGCTCCTCATCCGATGGCACACACACTCGTTCCTTGAACAGTAGAAGTCCATCTTCTCTCTCACGGAAACCCTCGACGGGCCCCACAAGCATCCGTTCCTGGATTATCTGAAATTCCTCGTCATTGCCTTACCACTACTTACATTTATCTCTCTAAAGATTATCCTCAGCATTTTAATTATTTTCGGCTCTCTTATTGATTATTTTCCGGTGGATTTAGTTCCATCATTTTGGTGCTCTCGTTGAGAGCAAAAGATACACTCAGGGAATTTCAGACGCTGTAACAATGGCTACTACCAGGGCTGAGAAGGATGTACCCACCGATGGACACACTGCGTCCAACTCATCGGGTCAGGACCTTTGTAACTGACTCAGTCGCCCTGCGGTGGTTCCCGTAGTAGTGCCTGATGTCCATGGTGCCATCCTAGGGATGACCAGGATGTTGGGTACTCTTGCGAAGGACGTACGCCGTGCAATTCCTGGCACTCAAAAGCCTCCTCAACCACATGGAACTCAATCTCCAACTAATCATCCAGCGGTGGAGATGGAGGTGACATCACCAGCGCCATCTCAAAAAGATGGAGAGGATAGAGAGGGACAAGGGATCCCTGTCCCTTCGAACCAACCGGCTCGAAGTGAAACCTCGGTGTTCAGCAGGTTGGGAGACCGAAGACGCTCTGCTAAGGACCGTCTCAGATGATCACACCATGTTGAGAAAGAAAGGGATACAAAAAACCACCGTGGACGACGCGACCATGGCGAAGAGGAGCGCGGGCAAGTTCCCAAAGTCGCCCATATGACTGCCAGTCACCATTCACTCGGACACATGACTGAGCATGTCGGTGGGACTGAAATACGCTCAGAAAAACCGAGGAACACAGAGGTAGAGTACGGTGGCAGGAAACGTGTGACGATTCACACAGACAAAACCGGGAATGATTCGAATGATGTGGAGGTGAGGAAGCTGTGGAGAAAAATTAAGGACCTGCAGCGACGGGTAGATGCAGGAGATGGACACACAGACGCTAAACTGAAGACGGTGACCCCATTCACCACACGGATCATGGCGTACCCATTACCAGTTGGCTTCAAGGCGCCCCATGTCAAGGCCTATTCGGGAACCTCAGATCCCCAGGAACATTTGTCACGTTATTATGATAATATGATTATGATTGGGGCATCGGAGGAATTAATTTGCGGATGTTTCCTAGCTACGTTGGAGGGAACTGCGTGTGAGTGATTTAATTCTCTCCCCTATGGCTCGATTGATCAATGCGAGGACTTAACAAGGCATGGCCAATGGATCCATTCCCATTGCCTAACATTGACCAATTGGTGGACAAAACAGCGGGGTGTGAGCTGATGAGTTTCATGGATGCCTTTAGTGGATACCACCAGATCCGCATGCATGAGGAGGATGCAGAGAAGACCTTGTTCATGACTCCATAGGTCGTTTTTTGTTACTTGTCATGGCGTTTGGACTAAAAAACTCTGGGGCAACGTACACCCACATAATCTCTAAGCTTTTCAGACCTGTCCTAGGTCACACCATGGAAGCCTACGTGGATGATATGATTGTGAAGAGTAAAAAATTGAGCACGCATGCTATGGATTTGGCTGAGGTATTCAAAATCATGGAAAAATTTAATCTACGCCTCAATCCGAAGAAATGCACTTTTGCGGTGTAAGGCGGGAAGTTTCTAGGATACTTGGTGAGCCGGAGAGGAATTGAGCCAAATCCAGAGAAGGTTAAAGCCATTCTGGACATGGAGCCTCCCCGTAATGTTAAGTAGGTCCAGCGATTAACAGGACGCTTAGCAGCACTAAACCGTTTCTTATCAAAACTAGCTGAGAAGGCCACACCGTTCTTCCACATCATGAAGAAGTCAAAAGGTTTTGTATGGACTGAGGAGTGTCAAACTTCGTTCGAAGGATTGAAGCAATATCTTTTATCTCCTCCGGTGTTATCTAAACCAGAGACGGGGGAGACCCTTTATCTATATCTGGGGGTCTCCCCGAGTGGAATAAGCTCTGTCTTGGTACGTGAGGAGGGTGGTGCTTATAGATGTTTACTATGTCAGCAAAACCTTGAGGGATGTTGAGCTACGGTACACTGCCATAGAGAAAACTGTTTTGTTAGTGGTGTGGACAGTCAAACGACTGACACAATACTTCCAAGCTCACCACGTCCATATTTTGTCACACACACCTCTAGGCACGCTGATGAGGAGTCCCACAACATCATCAAGGATGGTCAAATGGGCAGTATACCTTAGTCAATTCCACATAGAAGTGAGGCCTCACCCTTTAGTCAAAGGGCAAGCTCTTGCGGATTTCATTGTGGAATGTTCAACACGTGAAGAAGCGACGAAGACGAGGCATGAAGACCATGATTTCGAGTGGTGGATATTGTCCATGGACGGCTCATTCGCGGCCAAATCTTATGGCGGAGGAGTGGTCCTCACCACGCCCGAAGGCTTTAGGGCCTACAATGCCATCCGATTCAATTTTAAAGTATCTAATAATGAAGCGAAGTATGAAGCTCTATTATGTGGTTTGAGCTTAGCGGCGAACATGCGGGCGGAGAAGGTCAAGATCCGATGTGATTCAAAGCTAGTTGTGGGACAAATCATAAGCTTATTTGAGGCAAAGGAGGAACGCATGAGGCAGTACCGCGATGCTGCATTGGAGCTCTTAAAATTGTTCATAGCTTATGATATTGAACAAATTCCTAGGGGACAGAACGTTGAGGCCGACATCCAATCCAAACTCATCGCAGAGACCCCTGAGAGGATCTCAAGGATTGCAAGAGTGGAAGAACTAGACACTTCTAGCATATATGCGTGCCCGGTGCACACCATAATCGCTAGAAACGAGGACTGGATTAGACTACCTCATCAAATATATTCGTGAGGGAGTGCTGCCCGCGGAGGAGGTTGAAGCCAAGGTGACTAAGATGAGGGCGCTGAGTTATACTATTTTGAATGAGAAATTATACAAGAGGTCTTACAATGGCACACTTCTCAAGTGCTTACGACCAGATGAAGCCAAGGTCGCCATGGAAGAGATACATGCAGGGATATGCTCAACTCACTAAGGAGCACACACCATGTCCTGGAAGGTAATCCTACAAGGTTTCTTCTGGCCAACCATAGTTAAAGATTGCGCTGAATTTGTCAAGAAGTGTGTGGTGTGTCAAGAGTTCCAGAAATCTCCGGGACGTCCAACCACCAACTACACCCCCATCAGCACGGCTATACCTTTCGCAAGGTGGGGAATAGATCTCATTGGTGCCTTACCAAGGTAACAGGGAGCGTGAGATGGGTTATCGTTGCCATAGACTATTTTACTAAATGGATAGAAGCAGTACCCCTGACAAGCATCACTGAAGGGCAATGCAGGAAATTTGTCATGAAGCACATCCTTTGTCACTTTGGAGTACCCCCAACAGATCATAACCGATAATGGGAGGCAATTCGGAGCATCCGGGTTTAACGAATTCTGTGAGAGTTGGGGGATCAAACACAGCAATGCGTCTGTTGCCTATCCCTAAGCAAATGGTGAAGTGGAGAATGCAAACCGCACGATCATGGACGGTTTGAAGAAAAAGCTAGAAGCCGCCGGAGGGGAGTAGGCTGAAGAACTACCACAGATACTTTGGGCATACAGGACCACGCCAAGAAAGGCCACATGAGAGACACCATTCGCCTTGACATTTGGTTTCGAGGCAAGGGCGCCAACAGAAGTAATTCTCCATAGCCACCGAGAAGAGGGATATAACCCCGAGACGAACGAGGAGGTCATGGCGACCGAGCTTCTTTTTATTGAAGAAAGAAGAGAAGCGGGTTTCTGCCGTGCGGAGAACTATAGAAGACAGGTGGAGGGATACCATGATTCTTTAAGGATGCATCTGTGAAATTTATCGGATATCGGTCATGTTTCCCAAAAACATTGTGTGCCCCCAGAGCAAGCCTAGGTCACTCACGTGTTAGGTTCGCTCACTTAGTCTTACTTTTGGGGCTAAGTGAAGCACGCAATCGGAGATGTCAACGACACCTTATGCCTATCGTTGTCCTTAGTCACTCTATATAAATACACAATGCCTCAATTCAAAATTAGGCAGATATGGGGCGATAAATGCACCAAGGTTATACACTTGGTGTAGTATCGCCGTATACTACTATAAGTGGTCAGGCAAACCATGCCAAACGAGGCATGGTCGCAGCGTGGTCTCATAAAATCAAAATATTGGTCAAATAATTAATTATGCGATAATACTAAACAATAACGAAAGGAAAATAAGAGATGCGTCATTATTATTTTAATAAATTCAAAACATGTTTAGCAATTCAAGTACTCATAAGGAAAGACATGTCGGAATTGAAGTCTACACTACGCCCATCTATCAGTCCCGTGGACGCTCTAAGGCACGAAAGTGATCAAAGCTAGGGTGATCCAAGGTGAATGACATATGAACCTTTTTATCTTTCTCGGAGGGGGGATCATCAAGCTCCTCATCAGTAGGGGATCTGGAAAAATGAATGTCCTCCAGAGGGGAATCAGCCACCGAGATCTCGGGGTTGGGAACCTCAGGAGGAAGTCCCCAATCATTGATGCAAGAGGTACCAAACTTATCCCTCAAGATAGGATATATTTTCTGTTGAATGGCATATATCCCGACCTGGTAGGAAATGTAGCTCTCTAAGGCGAGTTTCTCACGGCGATGTGGAGTAGACAACCAACGTTTGCTAATGTCACCGAGGCGGGCATTGATGTAAGCTTCCCGATCAGACACGAACTCTGAAGAACTCTTGTATGCATCCACGGCCCGACTTCTTGCATTCGCCAACTCCACGACGTGCATGTCTTTAAGCGTCGCGACCTTGGCTACATGTGAATCACGACTAAGCTTGGGCGAGGCCACCTCTTTTGCTAATTCGGTAAGTTGTAGCAACAACTCTTGCTCGCGCTCGTCTTTCCTTCGGTTCACCTCGGAGATGGATGTCAGTAGCTACAAAAAAAATAGTATCACAAGATGCATAGATAAAAAGTGACGGGGAAATAGAAATGTTACTTTTGCCAGACCATGGTGACTCTTCCTCTCTAGAGCAACGTTGTCAAGTGCTGAAATTTGTTCCTTCTCAGTCACCGGGATTGTCTGTGATAAAAGCGGGGGCAACTCAATGTTACCTCGTAACCAGGTAGTCATCCCCGTAGTGGGAATGTCACTCATGCTCCGGATGATGCGGGTTGCGGTACTAGGAGCCTTGCGTATCGTCACAGATGAAGGCATGATTACGATAACGTCCTTGCCTTTTGTGATGGAGGGAGCCCTTGGTTTATTTTCGGAGCGCCCCTGGTCACTACCCCGAGGTCCATCCTTGTCGAAACTTTGGAGCATCTCCAGCCTCGACATCATATCTGCAAAAAAAAGAAAAAAAGGTATGCATATGTGTTAGTAAATATATATATGTGTGTTATCTTATATAGACAAGGTAACTGTGGACAACCTTGATCCGTGGACGTGGATGCGTGTGCACCCGAATGTGGTGACGGCGAATGGAGCCCAACCGTGATTAGGCGGTCCTCGGAAGTAAAGGCAGAGAGGCTATACGGTCCTCTAGAAAGAATCATAGCCGGCCATGTCTCCTGGTCAACCGGAAGTTTCGGGTACGAATACTTCTTAAATCGACGATTCAAAGACGATGAAAAAGGTAACGGAGATCCAGATGACACATATACAAATTCTTCTTTCCAATTAGCTTTGTTGCTACGAGTGACCTTCCACATGTCAAAGTGGTTGCGCTGTGAGATAGACATCCAGGATAGACTATAAGATGTCGAGCACTGCCCAACTCGGAACATATGCTTGAAGAGGTCTAGGGTTGGTCCAATCCCAAATGTTTTACACCGGACCAATAAGCTACCAGATACTGATGACCGAGCGGAGTCAGGTGACAAGGTGAAATTTCAAGGTCATTTAAAAACTCGATGATCAAAGGGTGTGTGGGAAAGTGAAATCCTAATTTTATGGAAAGAATATGCACCCCGAAAGAGTGACCCTTAGGAGGATTGGTTACAATATCCTTCGAATCTGGACATCGGACAGTCACTGTGGACGGAAAAAATTTCTTATACTTTTTGAAACTTGAAAACTGAGAGGCGCGACCTGTAGTATAGAATGGGGCTCAGGTCTAAGGATGGATACGGGCCACGGGTGCGACGTTTTGGTCGTTTGACTGGAGCGGCTCGTGGCTTTACGAGACTAATTTCTTCAACATCAGAATTAACATTTGCCAAGGGATGGGGAAGATTCTCCAACAATAATTCACCGTCATCACTCAGCAATTTATCAGAATCTATGGAATCTAATATATCCATAAATGGTGGTAGCTATTAAAAAAAAATTGAAAGATATGTCACTTCAATTGATGACATCAAGGACATAGCAAAGGAGTTATGTTCAAAGCCAAAATTACGGAGGAATACGGAGGAGACTTAAGAGGGAAGTCAAAATTAAAAATAAAAGGGAAGAAGACAGAAAGGGGAGCATACCTACGTACCGTAATAGCAACGGCGGCGGAATCTGATTCAGACCTAGAGCAGGATAACGACGACGCAGGTGGAAGACGACGACGGCGAACAGTCCCTGAGGTCACCGGAGTGTGCTGGTGCCAGGTTACAGGGACAACACCGGTGTAGTTGGGGTGCTCTGTTTACTCGCAACGGCCGTCTGAGGCGGATGAAGTATGACGGCAGGAAAGAACTTCGAGCGTGGGTAGGCTGGTTGCGTAATTGGATGCCGGTGGCGGCGGGAGACGTTGACCGACTTGTGGTTGCCGGCAAGCTGCGACCTGGTCAGTATGGCACTCCTTGACCCTCACCAACGAAGCTGCCAGGAAGGAAGTAGATTTGGAGTCATGAGCTGCACACTTCACCGAAAGAAAAGGAAAATTAAATTAGCTTAAATGATTGAACGGGTAAAAAGACAAAACATATTGACATGGTCACCATGTACATTCAATTCAATATTGACATAGCAACCGTGTCTCTATACTCCCTATTGCCGATATACTATTCGGCTTAGGAAGTGGGGGCATGTGATGGTATAATTATCCCAACCATGGATAAGCGGGTTAAAAGTTGATGTGCACGGTAACTATGTACGAATGATGATAAGGTATAAGGGGAGCTCATACGTGGTGACCATGCACGAGTTAGAAGATAAAAGATTGTACACAGTGACTGTGGACGGAAGTTAGTAGAAGACTAGGGAGTACGGAGTAACCGTGGATGTCATGGTAAGCTTATCCAAAGAGCACGTCCACAACAACCATGGACGCAAGTAGAAGACCAGAGTGCACTATAGCCTTGGATGGCATGGCGAGCTTATATATAGAAATGTCCACGGCGACCCTGAACATAGTAGTAGAAGTTTATCCAAATAACCTATACATGGTGTCTCTGGACATCATGGCAAAAGCTACATGGCGACTCCGTACGACAAACTACATCAACGACGTCTTTTCAAGATATTCACACAATCAACAAAGGATTCCGCGGATCTGTATTATTGATTTGCATATCAATTCGAACATGGCGACCACGTCGCCCAAATCTTTTATGTCTTATTTTCTACTATAAAATCATGCAATCTTTGAAAAGATAAAAAAGTTGAATACATTGAATACACTACATACATTTATTTCTCTAAAGATTATCTTGAGCACTTTAATTACTTTCGGCTATCTCTTATTGATTATTTTCCGGTGGATTTAGTTCCATCAATTATTTAATGTTTTTATTTAAAAAATATCAAGATAGGAATCCTTCATCAAATAAATAAGGATTTCATATATTATGTAAACTATATGTAAAATTTTGGTTGTTCTGAATTGAGAGGATTTGTGCGATAGCACTTCTTGCACGCCCTCATCTGCGGCCTTGTTTAGGTGACTAATTCTATTTAAATTTTACATCATAGTAACTATAGAAGTTATTCATATTAACTTATTCACATTTTATATTTACATTTTGTATAGTTTTTATTACTAATATTTTAGGGAAAATCTATACAATTTTGGAGTACTAATTACGTATTTGAGTGCGTCACTGCGTTGCACACCAAATGCGATCTCACAGTATTTCAAGGATACTAATCATTGTTTTTGCGTCTTTTGGCAAAAATCTTGACCAGGACAACAACGGAATCTTGCTCCTAATTCTAAAAAAATAGCTGAATTGTGTATTCTACAACATCCATGACATCCATTATTATATGAATATAGCAAGATTCACTCTTTTAAAAAAAGCAATATTCTCTCTTAAAAAAAGCAATATTCACTCTTAATTTGCTGATGAATGTCGATGATTTTAGTGTCATCAGTCATTTTGTGTAATTAGAAATGACATTATCAATGATGATTAAAACTATGATCTAATACAAGCTAGTAGGTGTGGAGTGCACATTTGTAAATAAGAAAAAGTTTTATCACGACAGTGGAACTCGAAGTAGAACTCGATGCAGAACTCTATGTGGTTCTAGATCCAGGTCTAGAGCAATTAAGGCAATTTCGTGCAATTTTCCAAAAACTAGTGCATACAACGGTTCATATAGATATATATATATATCTCCATATTTCATATAGAGTGAGAGACACAACATATCTTCATCACTTTGGCAAACTTAAAGAAAACAATCCATATACTCTCTAGTTTGTGCTCTTGAATTTGTGTCTAAGTTCTTGAGTGTGATTAAAGATTATCTTAGATTGAATTACTTGTAATTCAGACATAACAAAAAATATCAATTCGAAAAGTGAACTTAATCATCGTTAAACCATCCAAGTATTCAATCATTACCCCTACCAACCCCAACAAGTAACATCTCTCTGAGCTAATGATGCTCTAATTGGATGCTTTGACATTTCAAATTGCTTTATAAACATGAATGTTTGACGTTTTTAAAAAATTCCAACAGAATTTTTTATTCCTTTTTCATTGAAATAATTATTGTTCGGTTTTTGTTTGATGCAATTGAGTAAAATGCATGATAATATATTTGTAATTTATTTTGAAAGGGAATTCTTATTTTAAGTAGAGTTGACTAACTTCTTTCTACTTCTATAATTATAATAAATTTCAGATTTGTTTTTGTTGATTTTTTAGTGTAATATAATGCTAAAGAATGAGCTATCATATAATTTACAGTTTTTGAAATAGGGAGTTAATTAATTGTTTTAGTTGGTGTGATAATATGATTTGCATTATCCAATAGAAGGTTGACACATTATTAGTTTTTTAACTCAACTTTAGAAAATAATGCATTAAATTTTTCGTTCATAGCCTATCTCCATCTAATAATATCATGATTTGCTCGAGAAAAACATGTTGGATCAAGTGCGTTAACCCAAGCGGATTGTAAAAAAACATGATTAACCTCGGTAAAAGGAAGATGAATGGATTTCCCGATCTACATGAAATATAATTATGAAAAAATTCGCTAGTGCTAGAAATAGTTTTAATAGAAATTACTCCAAATAGGACTAAAACTATGACAACAACTCAAAATAGGACTTACTATGTTTTACTTTTCAAAATAGGACCATATTAGTCCTATTGGAAACATACCTATTTTTTCATTATATTCCATTCTTCTCCTTTCTTTAAATATGAGTTAATTAAATGTTTAATTCATAATAAATTCGAAAAAAATTCAAAAATTCGTATAAAAATTATTAAAAAATTTAAAAAATATTTATAAAAAAAAAAATAATTTTTATTTTTTTTAAAAAAATTAATAAAAAATAGTAAAACTCCATAAAAAAATTAAAGAAAAAAATATGGATGCCTTTCCTACCGCCTTTCCTACCTCCCTGCACCACCATCTCCAGCCGGTGAAAAAAAACCATTTTTCCTAAAAACTGCCATTTTTTTTTGAAATTGTCAAAAACATGACATATTTTTGTTTGAGAATGCCAACATTTTCAATGATTTCTGCCATAAATATAACATTCGTAATGAACTTGACATTTTTTTTCCTGGTGACTGTAGGTGGTGGTGTAGAGGCGGTGGTGAATTTTATTTTATTTTTTTGAGTTTTTTATTTTTCTATTTTTTTATTTTTTTGAAAATTAATTAATAAATAAATTATTGTTATCGAAATATATTTATTAATTTTTTAGTATTTTTTACGAATTTTATTATTTTTATTATTTTATTATGAATTAAACATTTCAATAGCTATAAGGGTATATTTGTCCAAGACACACATAATTAGTCCTATGAAAACATAGTTTATTTTTTGTTCCTATTTGTGCAAAGTGAGTGACTTTTAATCTTATTTTGATAATTAACCCTAGTTTTAATGTAGAGTTGATAATACATGATCCACTACAAAAACTACGGGATTGACACGGATTTACCGATTTTTCGTGCCAAATAGCTCGTGACAAAGTGTTTTTAAAACAGATTTGACATATCCTTGTCAAAATCCCTGACAATCCCGTGTTTTTTTAGTAATGATCACCGCCTGACCGGGTATTCGTCGGTGGGTGTGTTGGCTGAGGATATCAGGGATATTGGCTCCAGTTTTACTAGTACTCCGTGTTTCTTTTATTCATACCAGACGATCAACAAACAACGCACCCCATTAATTTACCAATGTTGGAGTTTCTTTGTCTGATTGTTATATATACGTAGTTGTTTCATCCTTCTAGCTTGGATATGGATGATCTCAATTTTGATTTAATTAATACGGAGTAACAGTTAAGCTTTTTCTCATCAAAAAATACAGGAGCATTTGTTATTTATAAACCAAACCATATAAATAACAGAAATTACCTTACAAAGGACTAAAACTATGACAAAAAAAAAATAGGACATGTTATATTTTTATTCCAAAATCGGACCATAGTAGTCTTATTCGAAACATACCTATTTTTTCATTCCATTCTTACCCCTCCATTAAATATGAATAAAAGGTACGTAGTCAAAAGTCATAATTAAATGTTTCAATTCATATAAATTTGTAAAAAATAATAAAAATGTAGAAAAATAATAAAAAAATAATAAAATATTTATAAAATAAAAAATTCAAGTTTTTTTTGAAAACATTAATAAAAAATAGTGAAAATCCATAAACAAATTAAAAACGTTACGTATTCCTTTCTCACCGCCTGTACTGCCTCTCTGCACCACCACATCCGACCAGTGTAAAAATGCTATATTTTCTAAAATGAATGCCACTTTTAATGAAAAATGTCAAAAAAATGGCATATTACTTTTTGAGAATGCCAAAATTTTCTTTGAATCTGCCATAAATATGGCATTCCTAACACATGTGTCATTTTTTCCTCCCGGTGACCGAAGGTGGTTGTGCTGGGGCGGCAAAGGCAGCGGTGATTTTTTTTTTTGAGTTTTTTTTTTTAATTTTAATTTATTTTTTTAAATTACTATTTTTTAAAATATGTTTATTAATTTTTTAATATTTTGTTATTATTTTTTATTATTTTATTATGTAATAAAACATCTCAATAGCTAGAAGGATATATTTGTCCACATACACATAATTAGTCCTATGAAACATAGTTTATTTTTTGTCCTATTTGTGCAAACTGATTAGCTTTTAATCCTATTTTGATAATTAACTCTATAAATAAGTCACTTTTGAGATATACTGAATTTGTCGATGTAAATAATTCTAATTAAGAAGTAACGGCAAATTCTAAATTAAAAGTTTAAAACCGTATGTAATTTGTTAGAGTAATACTTTCAAAAATATTACTCCCTTCATCCCATTAGAAGGTTTTCACTTTCCTTTTTTGGATGTCCCGTTGGAAGGTTCCCATTTCTATTTAGGATTCAATTAATGTTCTTAAGTGACAAATTAATAATTAAATATTAAAAATAATATATTTATAACATCACAGTTATCAATACTAACTACATTATAATATATAACTATTAAATTTATTTTTTAGAATATACTTGAAGTACTTTATTTAATTATTGTCTAAATAACCGTGCCGTTTTACTATGGGAACCTTCCAACGGTGCGGAAGGAGTACTAAAAAAAACTTATTTACACAAATGTGACTAATAGTCACTACAATGTAGTGTCTTGGTAACTTAAGTTTTAAAATTGAACTTAAGTTATTATGATTTCATTACTATTCTAGTTAGTAACCATATTTTTGTAAACAATTTTTATTCGAATCATATATATGTAATTATTTCAATTTGTTATGTTAAAACTATTTTTAATCTATACGTAATAAATAATACGCCGTAATAGTACTCAGGAACACGGATCCACAAATTTAGAGTGGTGTTGAAAATTTGGTGTGATGCATTGTTCCAAAAGGTGGAATCTTCCACCCCAGGAGCCCCCCACCCCGATCCGACAGTATGGTGGGGAGGTTAGTCACGGTGACTCAGTCAGCAGAATGGCAGTAGGCCCATACACCCGTGCGCACCAGAGATTTAGTCTTATTTCAGGTTCTGTGACCTCCACCAGGTCGCTGCGGGGATTCGAACATTGGTCCATTGTTCCAAATCTCCCACCACTCGACCAACTGAGCTACCCGTATGGGTTGCTGTGATGCATGTTTTTATCTCAACACTTGACTACTACTGTGTTTTTCCCTGATAAAAATGTTGCTTAATCTTTTCAAACTTCGTTTTC